CCAGCAAAGGCCTGGAGTCCAGCTGAAGAGGCGTCAATGTTCAGGAACTTTTCCAGAGTTAACCGCCAGGCCTATGAACTTTGTAAGTGAGTGTCATCATGAGACCCACACGGCCAGTTGTTCTTCAGTGGTTATCTGTCCAGGGAGCTACTTAGGGAATCATTCTTCAGGAGCATCCATTAGCGATCCAGAGAACCCTAGTTCTCATCTACACCCGAACTCCCCACTCTTATATCTCATTGGCTCTGTTCCCAGATGCCATTTTGGAGAGAAGCAAGGGTGAAGGGAGGAAATCCAGAAGATGGAGAATTTATTACAAAGAGACTAGATGATCTAAAAAGAGACCAAACTGGAAGGCAAATGTGATTTCATAAATTAATATATTTAAAGTGTTTTTCTCTCCCCTGCTACCCAGTGGGGTAGACCTTTGCAAGGGAGATTAAGGAGTTGTAGGTAATAAAGACAAGGCAGATTCTTCACATCTCATGTGGTGTAGACAAGATGTGACCCTGATGCTCCTATCTTTTCTGCAGGGGTCACTACCTATGCCATCAAAAAGTAAAATAAATGAATGCTATCATCATTAATTGGGTTTGAGACTATAGGCAGGTAATGTTCTTGCAATTAGGCCATAAAATGAATGTGGGCAATGACTCTCACATTCTGTGGTGCCAAGGGTGGAGGGGTGTGTGGCTGTGACTGGAAACTGGAACTGGGAAAGGGGTAACTCATGAGGCAGCGTAGTGAGCAGGGTCCCGGGTACAGCCCTGCACCTTGCTGGAGGAAAATGGTGAAAGTGAGATGGAGTCACTTCATATTTTCCCAAGTCTGCTAAAGAGGAACTTTTAATTTCTTTACAGAAGTAAAGTGAATTTTAAAAGGTAGGATGGCACTGACTTTCTTCAAATTTAAATTTTAATAGTCGATTACCTGTAATTTTTAAAATATTTTTTTATTCTGAAAATGAATTTTCCACAATAATGCAATTAGTTCCAAAAAATGAGCTCATTTGTCTTGCTTTTCTACAAAGGACAATTGAAACATTTAAGGCAAGATTCACTTATTCATCTCCATTTTAATACGGAAAGAAAGTAGCAGACTTCAGATATTGGTTAAGGTTAACAAAATATGGGAAAGCTCCTTTTTCTTTTCTTTTTTTTTCTTTTGGTCGCTTCCTGTATAAGAGCTTTACATTACTATGGATATTTTATAGTAAGACACTTTTGTTTCTGACTTTCTTTATAAGCCCATTTTTAAATTTAAAGGCACACAATAAAGCTTTATGCATTTATTAAAATATACACATTTTGGTAAATTTAGAATTTTTCCCTTAGTATCTTGATAAATCAATGTATTGTCAACATCACAGTCATTTAAAAATAAAACACACTTCATAACATATCTGCATATTATTTCTTTCTTCATAACACTACACACCCCATTGTATAGTGCACCAATGGGAATTTGAAACCACAAAACGAACAAACTTTTAACAAATACAGAAGTTCATACCAGGAAAAAAAAAGCAGAGAACACCACCAGAAGTTACCATCTGCAGAAGGACCAAACAAAAATGAAACATGTTAGTAAAATTTACAAGCTGTATTTATAACTTTGGATATGAATTAAACAGTAACATTTCTTTTCCACAGTGAGAAAAGCTAGAATGTGATTCCTGGTTAGATGGTGTGCCAACATGGGATGAGGACTGTAGCTGCTCTTTAAAAGACCTGCAGCCCCTTCTATCAGCCCAGACAGATGAGGTATTTATGCACCATCATAGCAGTAACCGTGTTGTTGCTTTGGAAAGTAGGGGTTTATGATTTCCAGGGTAGATTCTAGCTTTTGTGAGCATGAGTGAGTGAGGCAAAGTATCCGCAACTGCAAAGACCAATCAGTAGGAGATGTACAAGGAACAGCTTCCTCATCCCAATACCAGAATGAACACAGTCCTTCATGGTCTGCACTTTCTGGGGGACTCACATGACCCACAGTTCCCATTAGCCAATGTCACCAATGCCAATGTCAGAAAAATGGGGGAAAAAAATCACTGAGTCTATATGAAAAAATCCACAGACTGCCCCTGTTCCCTAGTTCTAATACCAAGCCATTTTCTTTCCTTATTGTATCAAAATGTGCTACATGTTCTTATAGGATATGGAATTACAGTTGCCGGCTTTCAGAAGACTTCAAGCCCAAAGCTGTTGTGCATTTTGTTAACTCCATACAGGTAGTATACTATTTAATGATTTCTAACCCTATTTTAGTTGATACTAGAGAAAATAGGTTCACTTTCGATGGCCTTCAAAACTTCCACTAATCCTTTTTGGGCTTTAAGTTCTAAAAATAGAAGAGAATGTTTTCTTAGAGAAGGAGTTTTGGCAAAAGGCAAGTGCCTATGTATTTCAAAAGGACGCGTAAGTTACTCAAGCCAAGCAAAAGAAGGAAAGCGTTTTAAACGAACTTGTTCTTGAGTGGGGAGAAAATTACACCAGCCTTTCCTCTAAAATCCTTGAGACAATGAAAGTAGATACAGGACTATCATACACGATAGGGTTTCTTGCTGCTGCTAAGTCGCTTCAGTCTTGTCCGACTCTGTGCGACCCCATAGACGGCAGCCCATCAGGCTCCCCCGTCCCTGGGATTCTCCAGGCAAGAACACAGGAGTAGGTCGCCATTTCCTTCTCCAATGCATGAAAGTGAAAAGGGAAAGGGAAGTCGTTTCAGTCGTGTTCGACTCTTAGCGACCCCATGGACTGCAGCCCACCAGGTTCCTCCGTCCATGGGATTTTCCAGGCAAGAATACTGGAGTGGGGTGCCACTGCCTTCTCCGAGGGGCTTCTTGTTGCCCAGCATTATTCCAGCTGGGAAATACAAATGCCTTGGGAAAACAGCACCCGGACTTCCGCTCGCGGCGGCGGCCTGCGGGCTGGGACGCTGTCCTGCGCGTGCGCGTTGTTCACGTACACATGGCTGGCTCTTTCAGGGCGTCACCATTGCTGCTTACAGGTTGGCGCCCATCTTTCCAAGGGGCCCTAGAGGCCCCTGTAGACAAAGGGGTGCTTAGAGTCCGGGAAGTCGTGCATATGGGAGAAACCTCGGCTCTGCGAAAATTTGGGATAGAAAAACGCTCCTGAACAAGTTACGTTCTGAAACAGCAAGAAAATGGAGTGCAGATTCCACGTGGCGAATCTGGGGGGTGTGTTTCCTTTGCTCAGTTCTCTCCACTAGCATAAGATATTAAGGCCAACTTCGGAGTGCTCACTAACCCAAAGGCTTTAGTCCAAGAGTGGACTCTGATTGCCTCCTGGACTCGGTGAGTTGACTCTAGCTGTGGCTTCAGACACGTTTTCTGATTTCTGCCATCTCCACCCAACAAGGCAGTCTAATTGGAGACACAAAATCAGTAAACCTGTGGCTGAGCCTCAGTGGGCTTTTCACTGACATCTCAGCCCTGCTAAAACCTGGTGAGAAAGTGGACAGCAATTTCCTCTAGTCTTTTAGGCTGATTCTCAGGCTCTTGTAGCTTCTCTTTATATTGCCGTGAAGAGTTATACAGCCCCTTGTAAAGTAGATTTCCAACAAGTGGGCTGTAAAAGAGTTCAGGTTCATTAACTGTTTTCGGAATGGAAGACATTTCTTTGAAGGAGTTTGTGTTTTATTTTCCTAGTATTACTAGATTTATATCCTGACCAACCCATAGGTTTTAGAGAAAGAAAGGTCATTAAATACAATAGTTTTCTCCTTCTGTTTGTTAAACAGGCTCATCATAATCATTATGTTGATATTTGATTAGCTGTTAGTTTGTTACTAAGAAGTAGAACTGGATTCTTGACCTAATTCTGTCATTCTTTTCCTTTCACTAGTTCAAAGTGGCTTTGTACTCAGGTTTGAGTAAAATCTTGAGCTGGCAGTTTTGCCGTTTAGGTTAGATAGATATAAAATGTTATTAGCTTTGTTATTTAAACGTATTACTGGAAATTTTAATGTGGCTGGCAATAACTGTGTTGTCTGTCCACATGTTGAATGAACAAACTTCTCCTCACCTACTGATGAAATCAGACAGGATTTCAAAGAAAGTATCATATGTTGTTTTAAGTATGGATATTTTTCCCCTTTAATATGTGAAATCAACCTGAAGTGTGTATGTGATTTATTAGCTCCTTGCCTGGGCAGAGGGAGCCATTGCCCCAGCTTCTTAAAGTCCAGCCTTCCCTGATTCATACTTTCATCATTTTCTCAGTGCCTCCCCACCCAAGGAGAGCTGGTGAGCTGAGTTCAACATTCATATCTATCTGTCATGAGCCCTGACCTGCCTTCTCAGCATTATTTCCTACAGTTCAAAACATAAATCATGTTTTCTTGTCAAACTAGCTTCTTGCTTTCCCTTGAAGGAGACACAGTACAAATTATTAGTCAGGAGATAGTATAGTTATCAGCCACAATCTATACCATACTCATGCTGATTCTGCACTTGGCAGGCATCTCCCTCATTTCTTCCTGCTAAATTTTGCCCATCCCACAAGCCTCAACACGAGGATTGCGTTCTCTTTGATCTTTCCATTGGAGGAAGGTCTTTTCCATATTTGAATCTCTGTAGCACATAATATGCTCTCCACAAATATTGTTGAATAAATATTTCATTTTCCTTTCATTCATCCATCTACCCATCCATCTGATTATCAGATATTTATTGAACATCCACTATAAGCCAGGCATATGTAGTTGGTAAAATCTAGCCCTGAAGCTTATCTGTGGGTGTCAATGGTCTATGCGATTGCAATTCTCCGCCCTCATGAGGAAAGATTTATTCTTATCATGCAGAAATACTTCTTGCTGTCATTATCAACAATTTCATTATTTCTTAAGTTGCTCCCTCATTGGCAAATTTAGTAGTGCACATCACGTTTCTACACTTGTGCACTAAATACACTTCTAGCTTTGTCTTATCCTCTCTTTTCTATTTTTATTTGCCTCACATTCCTCATTTCTTTTTTTTGGGTATTATATGTATTTTAATAACCACTTGAAATCCTCTTGAAATGAAGGAGAGTACTAATAAGTAGCATACATTAAAAAAAATCAAATAATTAGCTCCTAACCATAAATCTATATGATGAAATCTCACTGAAAGAGCTCTTGGTACAGAGGATTCAGTAACATCTAGGTCTTCCTAGGACGTTGTTCAAGGGGCTAAGTGTCTGAGCTAATTATAGGATGATCTTACTTTTAATGTGGCCCCACAAATACAGTCTTAAGAAAATGAATTAGGAAATGCTAATATCATTCTAGTGATTAATGGTATTTGAAAACTGCCCTGTGAGATCTGAGATTATTTCACAGAGGCTGGGAACCATGAGGGAAAAACATGTCTATTTATCTTGAAAAACTTTTTCTATCATATTGACTGATTTTTAAAAAAACCAAGGTCACTGGTGAAATGACTAACCAATTTAGAGCAATAAAGAGAGCAAAGCTTAAAAAAATATAGAGATACTATTTGAGAGAAATGACTCCTGAAATGAGGGTGATTTCGAGAGGGTCTTTATGAAATCAGTACCAACAGGGTTTACCAAGCACAGGCCCTCTCTTCTGATGCTACAGAAACTCCACACATCTGCCAGCAGACAGTTGTTACAATAATACACCTTATTAGTAAAAGGAGGCTCTTTCACGCATGTTAAGGTTTTGTAATTTTGCATTCATATTTCTCATATTTCTCTTTGAACACTTTTAATAAATACAACTCCACCCCATCTGTCTGGATATGTCTCAAGTCTAATAGATTATATTTAAGCTAGTCAGATTTGTTCAGTCCTAAGACCAGTTCCAAAGTTTGTTTTCACAAGAAGTACTAATTTAATCCCCAAAGATATATTTCACACATCAGCCACTGTATCTTTATGGTTAATCTTAGGGGAGAGAGAAATGGAATTGCCAAGCATTACATTAAGATGAAAAATTGACCTCAGAAAAACCAGAGTGCTGAACAATTACTATAGAGGAATGAAAAAAAAAAATCTGGAGAACAGTAATTATTTGAATTTAAATGGCTTACATGGCTTTGGGTGGGATATCCAATTTATTAAAGAAAAACTAGTTTCAGTTGGTCTTTTTATAAACATTATTATTTTTAAAGCCCAGTTCATCAACCAAGAGGACTTGCCATGTTTGGTTGTCTTATCTACATTTATCAGGTTCTGGTGCTGCTCTTTCCCTGGGTTGTGAACCTCCAAGGGCAGATGTTACATTTCTTTTTATTCCTATTGTTTAGGATTTGGTGCATTTTTGATCAGTGTTAGTTTCACATAAGAATGTGCGTTTGTGTCCTGTCTATAATCCTGAACCATGCCAAGATGGCACAAATCTCAACCTTTAAGAAAGAACAGACTTAAACATTAGTTGATGTTCTGGAAAACTTTTGGCATAACTCGAGATCCAGGAGACAGAGAGAGCAAAGAATTTACTATTTTGTCCTGCTTTCAGGAAGTCCTCAGAAAGATTTTAGCTTGATCCAAATTGTGCCTTCATATACATGTGTCCACATCTCAAGGTACAGCATGAATCCCTGTAACCCAAGACTGGAATGCATAGGCCATGTGTTTTTTTCTTGTTGCAAGTGTCCTCTTCCAGTTTGTTTCTGAGAAAATAATCTTTAAGAGCCCCTCTTGTGGTCCAGGTTTAGACCTTGTGTGATTAGTCGCTTCATTCGTGTCTGACTCTTTGCGACCCCATGGACTGTAGCCCACCAGGCTTCCCTATCCATGAGGATTCTCCAGGCAAGAATACTGGAGTGGGTTGCCTTGCCCTTCTCCAAGGTTTAGACCTTATCAGGTAGATATTTTCTTCCTCTGGGCTTTAGTGAAACTACTTTGGGAAATAACAGGAAAAATCCATGTCTGAAAGTGAGCTACGCCAGAGGAGTAAGGTTCAGAATGAAATGTGATCTCATGGAATGTGATTACCTAAGTAGCTGTGCTTCATTATTTTTTGTTTTCAGAGTAGCACCCACCAGTCAAGTGGTTGCATATCTCAAAAAACTTCAGAATTTATAATTTTAGAAATCTGAAAGAGTTTGCAATGTGATCTCAGTGGCTGGGTCACTTCTCCTTGTAAAGCTTTTTTATCTGATCATAAAACAAATAGCCTACTTCTTCAAGGCATATTAATGTCATGAAATCATGCTCCCGCTTTGCCCTCTTTCATCATATCAGCAGGAGCTTAGAGTCTGGTATAAGAGAAGGCATGACATGACAGAGTTAATTTTTGCCAGTGCCCTTCTGGCCTTCCCTGCGAGAGATGGTTATTCAGTTTTTTTTTTTTTTTCCCCTGGGCATTTAAGTTGATGGTGCTTCTTACCTTATTATTGGGTCTGACTGCCTTACGGTGAGTCTGAGATCTTTGGGATCATGGTCTCAGAGTTCCTGACCTTTACTGCATCCTAAAGTTCTAGTCTGGGGACTGTGAGAACCTTGGCGAAGGAAAAAGAAGTATGCATCACCATGAATTTGTTTTTGTGAGATTTCAGAACGAAATGTTGCTTTCGGAGGAAGTGCCAAGTGCCATGTGGCCTCGAGGAGTGGCTCTCAGCCTAGCGTGCTGAGAACAGGGCTTTGCCCTTGAGATCTCAGGTGGTTGAAATGCCGCCTTGTGCCCAACTCCACCTGCTTTGGCACATCTCCAGGGGTTTTACTCCCTGCTTCTTGGGGCCTTAGTAAGAAGCAAAAAGATTCAACCAGCAAAGCAAAGGCCTGGGAGACACTGCCATCAGCTCTGATGGTTGCACCTGATAGAATTTCTCATAGCTTTTAGTTGTTTTCTGTTTGGTTTTGCAAGGGAACTAGTTATGGGAGCCGGGTGAAGCCCTTCCACAGAACTGTCGTGAAGAGCAGAGGTGGCAAATGACAGGCTATGACTGGGGACTGACTTTGGGGAAGGCTGGAGTTTTGAAATGAGAGCCAAAGAAGTTTCCACCTTCTAGCCCACAGGTGAATTTACTGAAAAGAAATCACCGTCATGTCTGCACATTTCTGGTGTGTGTGCTCCTACTCTGGAGAGTAATCTAACTCATCGTTTGCAATCAGGGCCTCTGAGTTCTGTTTGTGTTTGCTTTTGCTCTTTGCCTTGCTGCTGGTCCTGGTGCTGGGCTGCGAATCTGACATCTGCTGGTAAGAGAAGCCTTTGTCCTCGGCCGGCCCGCCCCAGTTCTCCTGGCTCTCGCCCTCCGTGGCATAGGAGAAGCCCTCCTCCACTGAGAAAGGGTCGTCCACGTCGTAGCGCTGGTACGTGCTCTGGTGCAGGGCTTCTTCTCGGGCGCTGATTTCCAGGGTGCTATTCCAGATGCCATACCCAAAATAAATGAGCATACCTGCAGCGGGGTGGGGTGAGTGGGGGGAAGCACAGGTGAATAAGCTGTTGTTTGGGGATCCACACGTCAAGCAGGGGGCTGACTCCCAATGGTGAGGGCAGACCTGGTGGTAGATGTGTTTTCTTTGGTCTACACAGTGTTTTGAAAAGATTCGACTTAGATGCCATTTAAAAATGGTCGATCTTAAGCAACCCCTACTTAGAGCAGAAGGACTGACAATGCTATACCCACATTCCTACATGGAAACTTCTGGCTGGAGGTGAGAGCTGGCCATCTCTTTAGTAGGCATATGACGCACTTGAGGTCACCTCAGTCCCCACTCCCCTGCTGACATCTAGCTCACTGTACTCGTGTAGGTGCCAGCCAGGAATTTGCCTTTTCTTTTCTGGTTTAAATAGTTATGGATCACCCACAGTGTACCCCCAGCCTTCTCATTTTACTATCCCAGATTTCCACTACAGACTCAAATTCTTTTATTTCACCACATGTGTGGGTGCTCAGTTGCTTCGGTCGTGTCTGACTCTTCGCAACTCTTTGGACTGTATAGCCTACCAGGTCCCTCTGTCCATGGGATTCTCCAGGCAAGAATACTGGGGTAGATTGCCCTTCCCTTCTCCAGGTTATCTCCTCGGCCCAGGATCGAACCCACATCTCTTCTGTCTCCTACATTGGCGAGCGGGTTCTTTACCACTAGCGCCACCTGGGAAGCCCCATTTTACCACGTAGCAACATGCATATATGGTCCTACGATTTACTTTGCCACTTTTCACTCAGCAGAGTCATCATACTTGACCACCACTCAGCTATCCACTTAGAATATCTGTTGTGTGATTATCTGTACGGGTTGGTTCTATTTTATAGACTGTAGAAAACTGGCACTTAATGTTTGTTGAAGGGATGAAGGAGAACTCCCAATGAGCATGAAATGTTCAGTGCAACCTCCTTGTTTTGATGTCATTCCAAGCAAAGGAAAGAAGCCTGCCTTCCTAGTTAACTTGTAGCATTATATGGGCTAATGTCTCATTTCTATAAGAACTTTTACGAAAAAAAATTATGAAAATAGTTTGAGAAAGGCCCATGGAGGCTCGGGGCCTGGAGTGCTGAGAACCATAGCCTTGGAGGCCAAGGGGCCTGATGGTTGAGAAGGTGAGGTCTGAGTACAAATCCTGCCGCCATCACCGTGTAACCCTGGACCAGTTACTGAGCCTCACTGTGCCTCAGCTTTCTCTTGTATGAAATCTCGAGCGTACTGTACCAACGCATGGGGCTGCTATGAGGAGGAAACGACATAAGCAGTGATTCTCAACCCTGGCTGCACCTGGTGGTCACCTGGGGCGTTCCTGCACAATCCTGACACCTCATCCCTTGGAGATTCTGATTTAATTGGTCTTCAGTGTGACTCAGGTGTAGGTGTTTTTAGAGCTTTACAGGTGATTGCCGTGGCCAGCCAAAGCTGAGAACCCCTGAGATAGGGAACCTTAAAGCTCCCGAGGCAGGAATTCCCTTGCAGTCCAATAGTTAGAACTTAGCATTTCATCTCCCTGGGCCCAGTTCAATCCCTGGTCGGGGAACTAAGATCCCGCCAGCCACACAGCTGGGTGAAAAAAACAACATTGGCGGTTGGGGCTTCAACATGAATTTGGGAGGGACACAATTCAGTCCATAATATAAACTAACAAAGGAGATAAAATGGACTCATGAAACACCACCACAAGCCTTGTGACGTGGCCACAAAAATCCCCAAACTCCTGATGCATGTGCTTTACTGCCAACTTTGGCCCTTTGGTGGCCTGGCCACTGCGGTCCCCTTGGTTATGCACCTCCTTCCAGGTACCAACACACTCTTCTGGGTGGCACCTAGTCTCTCTGACTTTGCAAACCCTGCGGGCATCTGCTGGGCTGTTTGCTTAGAACCACAAGGTGAAGCCTGCTTTCCGCTCTGGTCCCCGAGGTATTCTGCTTCCTTTTGAATTTGAAGTGTGTCTTTTTAAGCTTGGATTTCTCCCTCCTCGTCTCAAGTGACTCTCCCTGCCACCTTCCCCCCACCCCCATTTTCCTGTGAAATCAACTTTCCAGGAGCCAAAGCAAGCAGAGATTTATACTCCTAATTGGTAATAAATCCTGGAGTTAATCATTGGCAGATGTGGCTGTTCTCAAATAGCAATTTCATTTTTTTTCTGAGCTTGGATCTTACTCTTTCTTGTCTGGGGCTGAGGGTGGGGTGGGCATGGGGGGATAGTTCTTATCGTTGTGGAGAACAAGGCACCAAATTGAGGCCTCTTTTAAAAGGGCCAGCAGTTTGCTGCTTGGAGAATACCTGTTGGAAGCACATTTGAAACAAGAGAGCAAATTTCAGGAGACTGAGTTTATTGTCAGGCACACACCACCCTTTGCCCAGTTTTTCTCTCTTGCTGTCTTTTCTCCTAGACATCCAAGTAGGTGGCAAAGCTTGCCTCCTCTGTCTGCTTGGTATCTGTTATGTCAATTCTTTCCTTTTTGATCCCGTTTTCAGATCCTGTTTGTAAGCGTGTTGTTTCCCTACTAGACTTAATAAAAGTTTTTCTTTTCCCCTTGCCCCTGGCTTCTCTTCTCTATACTACAGAGGTTATCAAGCACTGGTTTGACATCTATTCTGATAGACCTTCCCCTAACCCCACCAAGTATTGGGATGTTTTGTCTGATAGACTTGTGAAATGAAAGTGTGAAAGTGTTAGTTGTTCAGTTGTGTCCGACTCTTTGTGACTCCATAGACTGTAGCCCCTGCCAGGCTCCTCTGTCCACAGAATTGTCCAGGCAAGAATACTGGAGTGGGTAGCCAGTCCCTTCTCCAGGGGATCTTCCTGATCCAGGGATTGAACTTGCATCTCCTGCATTGCAGGCAGATTCTTTACTGTCTGAACCCCCAGGGAAGCCCATCAGATAGATTGGTTTATGGTAATTCTCTAAGAACTTTGGTGTGACTCCTCATAGAATCATAGATATTTAGAGCTGGAAAAGAGTCTGTGTCATTTATCCATTTGAATGCCTTCATTTTACTGATGGAGAAATGGAGACTGGGAAAAACTAATTCACTTGCCTGGGTGTGTGAAGGGCAGCACCAGCAGTCCATGAGAGAGAGAAGATTCTAGCTTATCCAGCCCTTCACATTCCCTCCCTTGCTGGGTTAGAGACTGCCTAGTGCAGAAATAGTCAGTACGAGCTTAGGTTTTGTTTTGGGAGTGGCTGGGCTTGGAAGGAACACGAGTATTTATATGTGTGTGTGTATGTATCAGTACGCAAATGTGTCAGCTATGATTACTTTGGGAAAGCAATCCATGGAAACTTGCCACATGAATATTTATGGGCCTTTTAACGTTTGCTCTGAGCCCCCTACAGTTTCTAAGGTGTGTCACGCTGTCTTCAAAAGTACACTGCAAATATGAGGGCTGTGAACCCAGAAGCGACTGTGGGCACTGGCCAGACAGCATGAATCGACAGCTTGGGCAAGCGCATTCTCCTAGGGCTTGGTGTTCTGTCTGCCTTTCTCTTTCTTGCTGGCCCTTGCGTCAGTTCAGGAAAAGTGGTGTGAGGCAGAGAAGGACTGGAGAAAAGGAGGAATGGAGAAGGACAAAGAAACAGAGGGGAACAGATGAAAGGGGCGCAGAGAGAGAGACAGGGCGGGAGGAGAGAAACATGTATTACCATCTGTCACACATAAACAAGGGCTTTGTGTTGGAGGAGTAAACAGAACCGCTAAAAGCCTCCTGTGTAGAAGCAGGGTGTTTTGTTTCTGCTCCTTTCTTCAGTTGGCTTAGAGAATGAAGCATGAGGTAGTTTCTGAAAAATCTGTGGGGATTCTGGGAATCCTGAACAACACTTCACCCAGCGCCCCTGGGTGATGCGGCCTTTCTCCCATGGAACTAAAATTATTCTACAAGTGTTATCTTGTTTAGATTCCTCCTGAGAATGGTGTGTGTGTGTGCGTGCGTAGGTTATGATTATGGCATTTCACAGACAGAAGACCAAATACAGGATTTTCTACAGCTGCATAGTCAGTGTTTAGACTGTTCAGATGGCAGTTTCTTCCACGTCCTTCCATGTCCTGATCCTGGCTGCTTCCAATTGTTATTTTTCCCACTTACCAGGGAGGTACACACTAATTGGAAATGATTTTGCTGAACTTTACTTTTTATAACATTTATTATTTTATTATGTATTTATTTGGCGGTGCCGGGTCTTAGCTGTGGCATGCGGGATCTTATAGATGCCGCGTGTGGACTCTAGTTCCCAGACCAGGGATTGAACTGGTCCCTTTGCGTGGAGAGCGCAGGGTCTTAGCCACTGGACTGCGAGGGGAGTCCCTGAACTTTACTTTTGAAGAATTTAAAACATACAGAAGTGGAGAGAACAGTATTAAAAGGCCCATGTATTCATCACTAGCTTTCTCCCTCCTGACACCCACTCAACCACACCTTTCTCTTTAGATTACTTTGAAACAAATTCCTTTCATCCTGTTTCCTCTGTAAACGCTTTAGCAGGTATCTATAAAATAGACTCCTCTAAAAAACTTAACTTATTACCATTGTCACATCTATAAACTAATAATTCCTTAATATCATCTGATATCCAGAAGCATCAAAATTTCCCTGAATTATTTGTTTGGATAGACTCTTCACTTTTTAAAGCTATACACTTATTCCAATGATGCTGTCTTTGCTTGAAATAGTTTTTGGGTCCTGTTATTCAGGTTGTCAGTGGGATTGGGTTTATTCTTTTGTAAATCCTTGTGGATGGCAAAATTTTGTCTTTTGACAGTGGATTAGCTTTTAGCATAAGCCAGAAGTCATTTGGAATAAAGTTTCAAGAATAAGGTGGCTAATTGATAAGTAATATTATTTATTCTGTTTGTGGATTTAATTCTCCAGTTCCATAAAAATGTAGATTCACTGCTTTGTAGTTATCTATCTGATATCTGAATAAATGGAAGGCAGATAAAACCCCGCTAGACTGGAGTTATTTTT